TGTTCTAAGAATTACAGTAGAGACGACTTACAAAGGTGGAAATGGTTAACACGTTTTTATTATTTTTTTTCAGTTCACTCAAAAGATGTTAGACAATTTTTATAACTTCGCGTCATCCTTTGCTGTTACTCAGGCCCAAATGACACCCAACCCATCAGAAGCTTTTATTCCTGCAAATGTAGTTCTGAAATGGTAAGATATAGTACTTCTTAAGCAGTAGGTGTTTCCTCATTCCTGCACTGAACCAGAATAATCATAATTACAGAGTGTTAATCTGGTTAATCATTGTCAGAATTGTTTGATCAACTTAAAAATTAAACATACAAAATAGCTTTATTATAAAATTTTAATTTATCCACATTTTCTCTTTCTCTCCCTTTCTTTCAGGTACGAGAATTTCCAGAGAAGACTAACTCAGAACCCTTCTTTTTGGAAAACATAATCCCGAGTCAGTTTCTTGGGAGTCCACTCGAACAAGCAGACAGAGCTTAAAAGATGCAATATCCCGAGTTTGCTGAAGAACATCCGGATGAATGCCTAAATTTGAGATGAAGTGAGGAACCCCACCCCATTCCAGCTTTTGTAATACTTCTGGGACTTTGCTTTAAAATTAAAGAGTAGTCATTGCAGCATCTCCTTTTTTCAAGTTAAAAAACTATAAACCAGGAAACCTATGATGTGTACAGAAAACATGGTCAATAATATTAACAAGAATAAACCTTTTGATTTGGTTTTTTTTTTCAGACTGAAGTTGTTATGGAACATGTTTGTTTATGCTTTGTATAACAGCTTGTATGACTTCTAAATGTCATGAGGTGGCTTAGTGGCTAAGACACTGAGTTTGTCGATCAGAAAGGTCAGCAGTTCGGCAGTTCGAATCCCTAGTAGAGGTCTCCTGCGTGAGCAGGGGGTTGGACCAGATGACTTCCAAGGTCCCTTCCAACTCTGTTACTGTTAATCATTGTCCTGTTCAGTTAATTCTGCTTACAATAGTTGACTTGATTACTTTGGTTTTCATGTTCAAAACAAATAGTTTCATCAGTAGCCATGACAAACATATATCCTTTTGACTGTATATTCCTGAGGGATGTGGTGGCTCAGTGGCTAAGATGCTGAGTTTGTTGATCAAAAGGTCGGCAGTTCAGCGGTTTGAATCCCTAGTGCCGCGTAACAGGATGAGCTCCCGTTACTTTTCCCAGCTTCTGCCAACCTAGCAGTTCGAAAACACATAAAAAATGCTAGTAGAAAAATAGGGGCCACCTTTGGTGGGAAGGTAACAGCGTTCCATGTGCCTTTGTAGTTTAGCCATGTCGGCCACATGGCCACGGAGACGTCTTTGGACAGCACTGGCTCTTCAGCTTTGAAAAGGAGATGAGCACCGCCCCCTAGAGTCGGGAACAACTAGCACATATATGCGAGGGGAACCTTTATCTTTACCTTTATATATTCCTGATTAATTCTATCTGGGTACTTTTTTAGCATAAACGGGTGACAATGGAGTATGGGCCAATGGGACATCTATCTTAACAGCCTGCTCTGAAGGACTGGCTGACGATATGAGGACTGTCCCATGAATTCTTTCCTCTTTCAAGATTGTAGAAAGTTGCTATTGTTGACTCATCAATCTGTTGATCAAGATTTCTCCAAGACTTATTTATATAATGCAGAAGCTTGATGTGTAATGGCCATGGATTCATTTTTTCGGAGGGCAATTGAGAGCCACCTCTAAAAAGCAGTGGGCACATTCTGTGGGGAGAGGGCATCAAAATGCCTCTTGATTAGAGGAATAGGGAAACTGACCCTTGCACAACGGTCAGTCTGCCCCTTCAAAAGTGAAGCAGGTTCTAGTTGGTTGTCCATAAGTCTGGCCCAACATCTTAAAAGCTATAGAGCAGAGGGTGTCCAACCTTGGCAACTTTTAAGACTTTAGACTTCAATTCCCACAATTCCCCAGCCAGCATGGGTGCTTTTGCGGTGGTGGGAGGAGGAGATCAACAGCAGAAGACTAGATACTGTCCCGCTTTTTTATAAGACTTGGGGAAAAATTTGTTCCAGCCTCATTTTCAAACCAGCCTTCCGTCCTGCCATGTGTTGTGCTCATTGCCACCTAAGATTTTAGTGTGGATGGACTGCCAAGAACATATTTCTGAATTCTGAACGTTAAATTCAGCTGCCTTCAATGTTGGCTTGGGATCAGTGAAACCTTGCGGTTTCTTTCTTGACATGCTCGCATGGTCATTCTTGAGCATAGAACTCAAATTCATATGTGAAGTCGAGATTCATTGGAAGGTTTCACCAATGGCAGCAGGAGAGAATTCTTGCCTCAGTCTACCCCTCTCTTTAAAACAGAATATCAGAAGGCAAGATTTAAAAGCCAAGCTGTCACAATCATTTAGGACAGCCCTATCTTTATGTATGGAATAGGCAATCGTGAATAAAGATAAACACATAAGCATCTTTTTAAAAACTGATCAATGGTTTGCTGGTGGAAGAATATAATTTTCTTTTTTTTTAATTTGATTTATATGCCGCCCTTCTCCGGAGACTCAGGGCGGCTTACAATGCGTTAAGCAATAGTCTTCATACTTTTGTATATTTATACAAAGTCAGCTTATTGCCCCCACAAACTGGGTCCTCATTTTACCTACCTTAGAAAGGATGGAAGGCTGAGTCAACCTTGAGCCTGGTGAGATTCGAACTTACAATAATTGCAGACAGCTGGTGTTAATCACAATGCTTTTAGTCTGCTGAGCCACCAGGCCCTTGAATTTGAATCCTATAGTGCGATGTCTTCTAACTTTTGCATCTGCAGTACTGTGTTGCTCAAAAGGTTACATACTTTTGTCAGCAGAACCAAACAAAAGAGTTTTGCCTGGCTATCCATCCATCTAATTTCTACATAATCTCACCTGAGTGATTCAAGAGCAGCAAAAATGTAGTGGTCTTAGGCTTAATCTTGCATATCTGAATATTTCAAATAATTTATCCTCATTAATGAGACATACGGCAAACTGATTTAAGGAGAGGATGAAACTAGTACATTGAACAAGCATGAATAGGTAAGATAATTAACAGCTATGAAATTAATATTTCTGGCAGAATTTTAGATTTCTCATATTTTAGTCCACTTTTCTTCGTTTGTTGAGAGCCGAGGTGGCACAGTGGTTAGAGTTGCAGTACTGCAGGCTACTTCAGTTGACTGCTAGCTGCAGTTCGGCAGTTCAAATCTCAACGGCTCAAGGCTGTCTCAGCTTTCCATCCTTCCGAAGTGGGTAAAATGAGGACCCAGATTGTTGGGGGCAATATGGTGACTCTAAGCCGCTTAGAGAGTGCTGTAAAAGCAGTATGAAGCAGTATATAAATCTAAGTGCTTTGCTATTGTCATATACAGTATGGGCAAGTTTCCATTTTCCGAGATAATTGTAACTTATTACAATTAATTTATTCATACCAAGCTGATGCATGACTGCCCTCACCTCGTTTCTATTGACAGAAAGTTTTGAAGTTTCAGTTTGTTAGCAACGATTAGCTTTATGTTAAGCACCATGTCCTGGCAAATAGATGGGGAAGAAATGGAGGTAGTGACAGATTTTATTTTCCTAGTCTCCAAGATCACCGCAGATGGGGACTGCAGCCAAGAAATTAAAAGACACTTGCTCCTGGGGAGGAAAGCTATGGCAAATCTAAAAAGCAGAGACATCACCCTGCCAACAAAAGTGCGTATAGTCAAGGCTGTGGTTTTCCCAGTTGCAATGGATGGCTATGAAAGTTGGACCATAAAAAAGGCTGAGTGCCAAAGAATTGAGGCCTTTGAACTCTGGTGCTGGAGAAGACTCCTGCGAGTCCCTTGGACTGCAAGGCGATCAAACGGATCAGTCCTAGAGGAGATCAACCCTGACTGCTCTTTAGAAGGCCAGATCCTGAAGAGGAAACTCAAATCCTTTGGCCACCTAATGAGAAGGAAGGACTCACTGGAGAAGAGCCTAATGCTGGGAACGATTGAGTGATTGGATGAATAGATACGATAAATAGATATACAGAGGGAGGTATGATACTGTAGATATAGATGATAGGATGTTAAATAGAGATACAGTAGATAGATGATAGATAGATAGATAGATAGATAGATAGATAGATAGATAGATAGATAGATAGAT